AAACTTTCACTATATCATGACAGTAGAACATCAGGTTCCTCTGGCTCATTCTAATTTCATTTGCAAGAATCCATCAGGGCCTGAACGAAAACAACCAATCAGAGCCAAGAAAGATTGTTCAGTCTCATTCACATGTACCAAATACCAACTCTGGGAAAGAGACTCAATAATGAACTATCTTCAAGCCTCCAACCTAAAGCATCTTTATATCTTTCTCAGCTGTGATTGGTTGTTTATGTTCAGGCCCGGTGGATTCATGCAGATGCCATTCGGGGCACTAAGAGGAGCCAGAGGAGCCAGATTTTTTTCACGGGTTATCTGTCAGGATATAGTAAAAGATTCAACACATACGACAAAAAAATGTTTTTATAAAGGTTACCTACTGCAGCTTTGAGCTGTGTAACAAACATACTTATTTTAACCAAAACCATTCTTTTCCTAAATCTAACCAAGTAGTGGTTGCTTCTACTCTCCAACAGTCATTTCGGGAATTATTGGCAATCGATCGGTTCAGTTGTTTAGGTATGAGGACATGTTCTAATGAGGGCAATGTCAAAGATCATAAACTTAATCTTTGACCCAACAACTCCATTAAAAAAGGTTGACACTGACTATGACTAACTTTTTAACAAACACTATCAACATTTGTGACTTTGAAGCTATGACGTCAATCAATGAACCTTCACCATGGATTCGTTTTCTCTAAAAATTGCCACCATTTCATACTCAAAATAGAAAATACTTGTCATAACAAACTGTAGGAATTAAAACGAAGGTGAAGGTACACAAGTCCAATTTCCCAACTAATGCATTTTCCATTTCCTCCTCACAGTTTATTGCATTGATATTTTACAACATTTGAACGCAGCAGTAAGAAATGACTAAACACTATATTGTCACTATCAAAACTCTGCTGATGTCTTGCGACTGTTTTATATTTGGAGAGCGCAGTAATCTCACTTGTGCTCCCATAAACCCACAGTTAGAGGAGGTGCCTTTCTAAAAAAAGAATTTTCCTTTTTCTCTAAGAGACTCCTTTTCTATCACTGAGTAAACTAAGTTACATATTGTATGGGTAATTGATATTATATTCAATGCAGTACAGCAATAACAGTAAAGAACAACTGATAAACTGAACAATTAACTTAAAATAGTGAACACAATAACTGCAGGAAGTTTGTGTAAAATTTGCAATTTGGATTCATTTTGAGCCGATTCCTTTGAATATTGCATCAGAGATGAGTTTGTTTTAGGGACTTTTTTTATACAATCCTTTATGTTTTCAGTCATACAGACTTAATTTTTTAGGTTAACACTTGGCCATTGTGTTTAGGTCTTCAAAGTAAGATCTTAAATTATAAAGTTGTATTGACAGAAATGAAGAAAATGCTGAGATATAAGCCAACTGTGATCCCGACTTCCAGGTTGGGAACAACTGTTGTAAGTAAGGCTTTATAAATCACTTATGAGGGTTTGACTTGCTGGGCCACTTGTCTTCTATAAATCAGGGCCAAAATCACTTATTAACACTTACAAAATGCAGGTTTAATTATTAAAATTAGATCGCCAGCATTTATAACTAAGCGTTTTATTTATTTACCATAAATATCCAATACATTTGTAAAAGAAACTGGTAAATCTGTATAGTGAATAAGGATTATATTTTTACCTGCGCCAATAAGGCAAAGAGCCAGAACCGGAAGATTAATTTGCATTGTCCCGGGTAGAAGTGTCAGTGCCTCGAAAACGGGGATTAACAGTGTCTTGAAAGATATTCTTTAGATCGTGAGCTGTGCTGCTGGAAGAAAAAAAATGCACAAACATGCAGTCAAATTCTACGCAAGCACACATGTAATATATTCCTAGACGCAAGACCTTATCTCACTGTCCTGGGTCGAAAACAGGAAATGTGTTCTTAGTTTGCAAATCTCATTTATTATACCCACTCCTGTGCTGTCATGCCAGAATGAAACAAACTTAGTAGCAAGTAAAATCCACCGAAACTCACTTTGTCCACCTTTTTACATGCTGAATTGAGTTTTCAATCCCATTTGTGGTTTACCCGAGTTTATAATTTATAGGAAAAGTACAATACATCTGAGTAATAGTATCAAATATAATATAATTTAAATGTGGAAACAACCTTTTAAGAGAAAAATGAATGGTACATTTGAAATAAAATGCAAATTTCGTTCATATAAGTTGCTATTTAAAGATCTTCCTGACAAATGAAAGAAACCAAACAAACAAAACTGGTACAACAACACTTTTCTCGAACAGATTTAAAAACTTATAAAGAAAGCTGTGTTACTCACCTGTGAGGCTGTCAATAATGACTTTCTTCTTTTCCCGTAAGACCAGAAAATATCCTCAAACACCTGCTTTTATGACCCCTTTATCACACACCCCATCATCTCTAGCCCTCCCATATTTATGGGTGTCCGTATTTGTGTGTGTGTGTGTCCGGTGTGTTGACGCTGTAATACATCACCACAGATCAGCCAGGACAATTCATGTATTGATTTAATGTGTTTATTAATGCTTACAGCAGGGCTATATTTGGTTTTTATGGCTCATTCACTGCTGCACATCCAGCAGAACATTGGTCAGTACATATATCATCTCCTTACAATGCATACAAGCAAGTGGAGATGGGAGTGTGGGCAGACAAAGCAGCCTGATGGGAAGTTAACTGCGAGTCAGTTTGTGACATGTGAAGGATTTGGCTACTCAATTTCAGAATCAATACCTATCTTGTAGGAAACCCAGAGCTAATCCTGACATCCAAAACGTATGTTTTTGTCAACATCGGTCAAAAGCGGCAAGAGTTTATGTTTACCTGATGGATACCTCTTGTAACAGTATAAATTATGAGACTTTTTGGTCATCATGATGATATTGTTGTTGATATCTAAATCTCTTAAGAATAAAAAGCTTGTGATTTTGCATCTTGTATCCTATCAGTCAACACTAGTTTCATTCTACAATCTTCTCCTTAACCAAGCCTTCCCTGTCCTAATAGAAAGCTAACTGTAACTAGGATTTGGCTAATCCACTTTTTCAACTTCTTTCAACAGGAAGAGAAATAATGAATACCTATGGAAAGGTCTGTCAAATCTTTGTGTATCTTGGTGGAAGCAAATCCTGAGCTAACCCTAACATCCAGTGCATGAAATGGGCCGGTACTGTCCAGTACTGAGTGTCCTTACTTCTTATTGAGTACAGCGACCTCAGGTGAGCACCGAGGTCCAGACCTTAGTATGTTTTCTGATTTGTAAATAATAAATGTTGTGAAAAAACTGCTTAAAAATAAGTAGTTTGAAACTTTGATGCCCCAAAGCCCCTTAGAAAGTTCAGTTTTTTGACCCTGGTATCTCTACAATGCTGTTGAGGTGTGTGTCTGTAAAAACATAGCTAGCTTAATGCTGAATTAAGGTACTGGCACCTATTTTGGTTCTGCCGCACAAGAAAAATTAGAAAATCAAAGAGTTTATGTTTACCTGACAGGTAAACAAAGTCATCGTTCGTCCCAGCTTCTATCAAGCTGCTGAACTCTAATACTAAATCATAAGCTATGTGTAAGAAATAAACCAGCTCCTTAGCACTTTAATTCTTATAGTTTCTTACAGTCTCTTTTAAGCTGCTGTATTGTTGGTGTTAAAAGTGTAGTTGAATGTATCTTACGTGTTGTAAGATGTTTCATGTGATGGTCTTTTAATGTATGTGACAGATAGTGTGCCCAAGAAAAAAAAGTTTATTTTATTCTATTCTTTACCACTTGTGCTATAAATTATGACTTTTCTGTCTTAGAAGCAAAAGCAGAAGTAGCATAAAAATCTCTCATGAATTAAGTTGAGGTGGATGGTTGTGAGAAGGGAGAACACTGTTGGCATCTTGTTTCCTATCAACAGTGAACACTGGTTTCATTCACAATGACCACAATCTTTCTCAAACCTTAATCAAATCGTTTTAGTGCCTTAGCTGAACCAAACTGTTAATGGCAAACGATCAGAAAACAGTCAGAAAATAATCATTTAAAAGGTTTTGAAAGGCACTAAATGTTGACTATATCACATAAGGTTGTGTCTATTTTATTGTTTAGTTCGGAAGACCAAGTTTGTTTGTAGAAAGTAACGCTACCATTAACTTACAAAAAATGTTATTATTAAACAAATTTGCAACAATACACCACATGCAAACACACAAGGCCGCTTTCATTGGTTTCCTTTAGCTTGTCCTTGAGTCAGCAGCACTAGCTAAATCAGCCAGCTAGCTGGATGGATGGCTGGAACAATAAAGATTGATCCGACAGGCAACAAGGTTACTGTCTGAACGTCCTGCTCTGCTTGGTGAGCTGTGCAGCAGACTGTGGCAGAAAACGTACTGTTATCATGGCACAGCAGCACGTCATTTACATGGATACAGTGCGGAAGAGACAGAGCAGAGTTCTTTTTAAGAAATCATTTTCGAGGGGTTTTCTTGACAGCACACAACGATCATATAATTTACTATTATTTACACATGTTATTCCACCTTCATGAATCCTTTCAGGTTCATTGCAGGTAGGTGGTCAACATCAGACCGCTTAAGCTTGGTGGTGCTCTTGGCTTCTCTCACCACAGCTGAAATTTTTAAGCTGTAGCCTCTGGCAAATTGACGACAATGCCAAAAAGATGGCTACAAGTCCTTAAACTTGCTTTTAAGCGCCCAGCTTTAAGTAGGTTTTAGGAGTGAATGGGCTAAAATACAATAAAGATTTTCCAGGACAACATAGATTATTTGCAGGATATTTGGTCATTTTAACCATTTCCAAGTGTTTTTGTGACTGAAAAACTAATCTCTAATTTGCCAGGTATTTCAGGAATTCCAGGGCTGTCCTAGTTATTCAATTCAATTCAATTCAGTTCAGTTCAGTTCAGTTCAATTCAGAGTTTAGAAGCTTGTTTATGGGAGTGAGATAATCCACAGAGGAAGAAATGTGTCACCTGTCTTTTATCACAATATAAATGATAAGCTCAAGGTGTATTACTTTCATCTGTAATGCTGCCAAGCAGAAGCATTTCTCCACAAAGATCAAATGTCCGAGGATTGACCCTTGTGGGACCCCTAAGAAAAATTCGGTCTCAGCAGATTTGCCAACAAACGCAGACGCTCAAATCTTTCACAGAGGAAGAAAATACCACAATCAGTAGTGTCAAGGGAAGCAGTGAAGCCAGTGTAGTGTAGGCTTTATCAGTGTGGATATCCAACCTGCCTGGATTATGTTCAGTGACAAGGCTTCTTCGAAAGTGTTACATTCTTAGACAACATGCAAGTCACACTGAGGTGGTCAAAGGGGATGTTGACCATACAAAGTACTGGACTTTGACTGGTGGAAAGTACCTAAGTACATTATAACATCAGTAGTATAACAGTGTAACATCACACAAGTCTTGTTGTTCAAAACACGGAATAAGCTTCACTAAAACAATTACTGGTGGACTTAGATATGATGGATGATGGATAACGTAAACAGTTACTCACTAATTAACTCGCTACAAACTGGCTCCTCTTATTCTGGTTCATTCCTCTCCTGTTGCTGCCTGAACTCACCGTCTCTTCATCCCCAGAGTCAGAGTCCTGGTCGGAGCCGCTGGAAATTAGCCGGCGTCCTTTGAGGCTTTGAGCGGGGTTCAGTTGTGCTCTTTGGCAGTATCCCAGTGGGTCCCCCCTGCTCCTTACACTAGTAGTGTTTAAACTCCCCCCCTGTCCTTCGAGTTTCCAGTCCGGGCATAGACAGCTAATAGGACCGCTAACTAGCTAGAGGCAGCAGCTAGTACAGTTAGCATATGCAGCAGTGTACCAGTAAGAGACTCCCTGTGTTACAATAGTTTAGTCCTGGTGACAAGGTGCAGCTCCTGAATGGGTCGACTGAGACTCTTCTCAGCAACTAACAGGCTTGAAATTAAAATGTTAACCACAGGCCAGTGAGGTTATTATTTAACTGTTCACAAACATCAAGTGGATATTCTTAAGACCTGCTGACTGACATCAAGTTGACCACAGTGGTGTGTGTCTTATTACTTTACTGCCACTGGTGGTACACAAGCATGCTCTAGTGGTACTCGGAGAATCTCTGAAATACTTAAAACAAAAATAAATAAATAATTTTAAACACATTTTATGTTACTAGTACAAACATTTTATTTATTGTTGACTGTTGTTGAATCCTGAATGAAACCAGTTGAAGAACCAGAGCTAATTTGGAGGATAAGGGGTCCCCCTGGTCCTCCTAGCCTTACTTTGGAGCATTTTTTGACATGATTGAATGACATGGTACCAATGGACACATTATGTCTTCTAGTTTCATATGATACCAGTATCTTCCCTCTGGCTTTAAAACAGAGCCCACTACAGCCTATGAAAGACTTAGAGGAAGGGGTTAGGATAATGTGACCCCCTCTGGAAACACCTCTGATTGTAAGTGAATGTTTCTCAGATAAAGTTTGGCAGATACTAAACAGAATTCAGATTATTTTGATTAAAAAAATGTAAATGGAGCAGAATTAGTTTCAAACTTTCAAAACATACTTATTGTTGCAAAGTCATAAAGACTATTTCTAGAAAACAGGCCTAATGGGTCATTGATTACTCTGCTAAGGACTGTTTCAGTGCTATGGTTAGCTCTGACCCTGACTAGTACATATCATACACACTATGTACTGACTGTTATGAAAATAATAGGGGCAGCTGTCTTGCTATTTATGCTATACTACCAGTGTGTTTTGGAACAGAACGATTACACTCACAATAACAATAAATACCTTCCAGAGACTCCCAGTGGGAGTAAAAGGTAACGTAGCAACAGAACTCAAGTCACTTTATCACTCTTGGGACAAGTTGAACTTGAAAAAAGAATGGGTAACATCAACAGGTACACGAGAGAAGTCCCGTAACCTGACCCTAAATGCTTGCTTCTAGATTGGACTAATAAAAAGTGCTTTGGCAAAAGGGGCTGATCAAATGATATCGCTGATATTTTATAGGTTTATTAATGGTATGACATAGCATTAGGTTTTCTTTTGGTGTACCCATACCTACTTTTATAGCATGACACTTTGGTGTACGGTTCAGAATCCACCAGGCAGTCAGTATGTGTACCTGGGCCAGTTTGGTTTATTTGAAAACTGACAGAATAATCTGCTAAGACTAACATGTATGGGTTTTTTTCTATCAATAAATAATTAACTATTATAAATACACGTGACAACAAGTTTATGGTTTAAAATATGTTCTCTAAACTGGGGTTATATAATATTTGTACAGTCCAACAGATCTGAATGAATGTGATCATACAGGATTGAAAGAGTCGCATTGTTTTCAGTTATATGCTTTTGTTTTCAGAATTGACCGCACCTTAAGAACCTGTAAAGCCAGTAGAGACAATTTGGTGTGACAAGGCGTGTATAAAAGAATTAAACAGAGCACGATATAAAGAGAAACCAAACTGTGGCTCATATAAAACGGTGCAGTAGCCCCATGTGATTCCATGTTTCCTCATCCTTTAAATTGTTTCTGAATAGGGATATAACACTCAACTCACATTTCGATAGAATTCACAAAACCAGGGTCGATGGCGACCGATTTGAGTCTTCACATGTTTGTATCACGAGTTAACAGTCCCTTGATATATCTTTACATTCCTATTTCTGAATTATCTTCAAGCCCTCTGGATTTTCTCTCTCAGCTACCGGAGATCTAGCAGACATGGCTGCTTGTGACTGCACTATACATTACATTTGTGTATTATATTTTGTAATATTCTTATCTGTGATAAGATTGTACTTGTACACTGTACTTTTTTTTGCACTATATTCCCCAATGCTGCTGTGCGTAACTTTGAATTTCTCCTACGGGGGATTAATAAAGATATATAATCTTATTTTATTTTATCTTCTCTTGTCTTACATAAAGGATTGTGCGCCTTATTCCAATCACAGTGGAGTGGATGCTAACATATGTCACATTTGTATGTAGCAGGAGGTCACACATTGCAACATCTTTCACTACATTTCATCAGGAGTCATCAATAACACCATTAATAACATGCACATGGTGTTTAATTAATCAGCTAGAGTCAACACACACATCAATCAAACTAATAACTGACAGCGGGTCAACATCAGACAACCTTATCATACTTTAGCAGTTACCTAGTGTTTCTATAGCGGTGGCAAAACGTTAAGAAATATAAATATTAGCGGTTTGAAGTAAACTAAAAGCTCCCTTCACCAAACTCCCTTTGAAAAATATGTAATTTTAACAATTCCTAACGTTTCCATTACAACATATAACTCTACAAACAAGCTTAGGTGTGTCACACAGTGACAGTCTTCAGGTAAATACGGCATTGATATCATCCATAAAGATAAACTTAATTCTGTACACACATTACAAATTGTTGCCTTGACTCACTCACACCCATAAAGTCATCCCTGCAAGAACATTTATATCTTTGATGAACTGAGGTCATGCTGTTACACTTCAGTAATCAGCCAAAGCTTTTAAGAACGCCAGAGATAACTTGAAACCTGCCATCAACAACCTTTAACAATGTGATAGTGTCTCTGTGCCCTGATGACCCTGGCAGGATGCACTGCTCTCACATTTACAGAGAAGATGAAACTTAACTTTGCTGCCACAATGGCCACGATGGCAATAAGGAAACTCAAGGAATATTCAAGTAGCAAAATTCATTGACGTGGATCAATTTAATTACACCTTATCGGAAGTTACTGACACCTTGTCCACATGGCCTAGTTGACTGTGAGTCATGGAAAGTTCCAGCACTTCTCTGAGAAACTTTAGACTTTAATACACTGCTTGAAGACTTAACTTGATCAGTTTTTAACATTTTTAACACAAAAATCTCAGTATAGTAAACTGATGACCCCTGACTGAGTGACATATTATATGTATATTTCATATTATATTTAAAACTATATGAATGAACCCAAACAGTGAACTCAGTAACTGCAGGAAGTTTGTGTAAAACGAGATATTTGGATGAATTTTGAGCAGATTATTTCCTGTTTAGGGAACTTTTTATTATACAATTCTCTGTCTATATTAGGTATGTTTTATATTTTTGAACAATCATACAGACTTAATCTGCTTCTTTTCTGACTAATTCAGTGTTTTCTTGTCTCTGACGCTTGGCCATTGTTCTATTAGACAATTTACATTTACTTCACTTTACAGATGTCAACCAAATGTTGAGATATAGGCCTACTGTGTGGGGTCTCGACCCCCAGGTTATATAATTATAATTATTTAATGTAGTCATTTTAGGGAATCCATTTAGTTTAATTTTACTTTACAATTTGATTTTCAGTGTAAGTAAAATTATTATGTATGAGATCAGGATATTACGTTACACTTTAGGTTTTAGGAAACTTCTTACAAGTGATTTCTCACAATTTTCTGACATTATATAGACAATAATTGATTAACCAAGAAAACTGTCAGAATAATGAGTAATCGTTAGATGCAGAGATGGAAAAAAAGGCAATCTATATCATATTATAATGATTATTATCTTTATATCATATATATTTATTATATTATAAGAATGCTGTTGTCATTACATCATATATTTATCATCACTGTAACATTAATACTAATTAAGTATTTTTCTTTCTGCCACACACTAACCTGTCCAGGATCAATAACCACACACACACACACACACTTCCCAGACATACTTAATCTAATCTAACTTATCATATCATTACAGACATCATTGTAATTGCTTTATGTTATATTCATTATGTCTATCTTTTTTATTTTCTGTCACACTGTTTATAAATAAAAATAAATGGTTCCTGCGAATGTTAGAGATAAGTATGCTGTTGGATGCCCCTATGCTAAATAAAACATAATAAAGTGCCCTCTACGGTGACCCGGTGTGCGAGAAAACGTGATAAAGTTCCTTCTAGTGTCCTTACAGTGGAAAAAACATAATACAGCACACTAATGGGTGCCTTCAAAATGGAAAAAAATGTGTTTTTATTTGGCAATTTGAGTTTGTTTTTTGTTTGTTTCTTTCTACTGAGTGCGCTCTTGGTCCCGGGGGAAAGTACGGAGGGTTACAGGGCGGGTACAGTGTTGGATAATGTTTGTTTAAGTTCAATATGTGTATGCATGTGAAGGTATTTATGCCTCTATAAATGCAAAACTTAAACAAAGCATATAGGCCGCCCTATGCTAGAAAAGAGTTTGGAATAGTTTTAAACAACCATAATTGCTCCACGACCTTTTGCCCCTGCTATCAGGCCGTCATAGCCAGCCACCGACATTAAGGGAAGTAGTCAGTGCTTTTATGGTCATGATAGGAAAAACAGCATCCAATTTCATTCAAATAACGCCGCCATGTTTTGCCTGGAACTGTTGGAAATTATGCACATGGTTAACTTGTCTGTTTTTTTTCATATTCATGCTGTGGTTAATATTTGGTTGTGCATGTGAAGCAGCAACATCAGTGAACTCAGCGACAGCAATAAGTGCAGATAAATGGCGAAAGGAAAGAAATGAATATTGAAACTATAAAAATAAGAATTATATAATAGACAATACTTACAAGGTAAAGTGGCAGTGGTGTGATTAATAGCAGCATGTTAACAGTGAACACCAGACTAATATATGATTAAATAATGGTAGTGAGTGTTTGTCTGTATTAATATAGAGATGTAATATCTAGGGCACATTCTTTGAAGGGTCCGATCTGTCCCCAGCAATATACAGTAGAAAATATGTTAAATGTGTCCTATTTTCAATGCTGTCTCTTCTTATTTCCTATTTATTTTCAATTTATTTCAGTTTGTTTAGGAAAGCATTAAGTGTGTGACTCCCCCAACTTAGTTGCGCCCAGTAATCTCATTCAGTGTTGGCGGCTTGGTGACTTTTCAGACTTTATTAGCAACTTTATGTATAAATGTATGTAATTTTTCCCCATTGGAAGCCATCCTATTCACTACTACTGAGATATTCTAATTGCTAGGTGTGTTTAAAGTCAGTTAACAGTAAGCAACCAAAACTAAAAATGTGGAAAGGCAGCCACTATTGCACAGACTATCTTCTAAACTACGTTCTAAATGTGCAAAGTTCTCTCATTTAGACACCCCCAATTTTGAAAACATGGTTACGCCTTTGTGATATAAATATTACGTAGAATATGCTGCAAAAATCCGTATCACATGTTAATACAGTATAACATGATGAATCTCATATGTGATACTCGTATCAGATAAGAGATATAGTATAACAGCTAGTAATATAAGATAACAGTACATATAGTACAGCAATATAATATTTACAATATAATATAACACTGAATAGGATATGAACTGTAATACAGTATGGGTATAGTATAATATAACATAGTAAAGTATAAAGTGTAGTGTAATATAATATTTAATAGATACTGTATGTATAATAATATAATATATTAACAGAATATATCAACATAATGTAAATGTGTCATTTTGGGGCCTTTCCTGAAACTGCTGTTAGGCTATATAATAATCATAATACACTTTATTTATATAACACCTTTCAAAATCGGGTGTACAAAGTGCTTTTACAGGATAAAAACAAAAAACACTAAGAACCATCAGTAACAACATAACACTGTAAAACATAGCAATAAATAAAAAAAATAACACAATGAATTAAAACATAAAACAATAAAAAAAAAGATAAAACAATAAAAACAATAAATAAAAGGTTAGAAAAAAAGGATCACAGGAAGTTGAGAATAAAAGTGCGTTTTAAGAAGAGACTTAAATGCAGTGATAGAATTTGCCCTCCTGATCTTCTCCGGAGGGCAGTTCCACAGTTTAAGGACTCTGATGGCAAACAAACAACTTTGTTTTTTAATCTGGTTTCGGGAATCAACAGGAGAGCTGCATTTGAGGGCCTCGGGGCCCCTAGAGGCACATAGGGGGGTTAAAAGATCCCTAAAAGTGATCATTTAAATGTTTAAATCTACTCTAAAATCTACTAATCGACTCTATCTTACAATACAGTTAGTCTAATATACACCAACAATGTGCAAAATAACATATACAAGTACAATAATTATAATAATAATTGTAAAATAACGAGAGAAAACTGTGAAATTACGAATTAACCACAGTTTTATTTCACTAAAATATCTTATTTCCACAAAACAAACAAAGACGAGCAGTAAACTTTACGTGTCTGTGCTCAGTGATTAGTGGAGGCTAGATTAGTGTAACGTCCTCCAACATTGAAGTGTTTGCTCGGTGAATCTTGATGCCAGACACTCTATAACAAGTGGCCATCAGATACTGCCCAACAAAGCCAGCGAAGTTGGGTCAATTGACTTTAAAGAGAGTGTTTACTTGACAGCTGATAGCACCCTCTGATGGCTGATAGCCTCAGTTTAGCATGGATGAACTGCAGATACAGGAGGTGTTGATTCAACCGCGGTATTCTTTAGCTCCGTGTCACTATTTATTTAGCATTTAGCAGCCAAAGAGGCAGATATTTCTTCTCTTTACTTAACCAAAGTGAGAGTAAATACTAGACATGATTCCTAGTAAGTAATGATATAGACTTAAGTCTGCTGGATGTCTGCTAATGAGTCAACTGCTAGCTGACACATAAGCTATAAAAAACTTTAGAAGGTGATGATATACTATGTCAATATTGTCTTTACAGCATTTTCTACTGCCCCCAAGTGGCCAAAAATGAATGAAATAAAATGATATTAAGTATAATCAGCAATATGTAACTGTTGTTAAATGTTATTATTACTCATGTATTCATGTAAAAGCAAGATTTTATTGCTGTAGTTGGTTTAGGTGGAGCAGATTTTTTATTATTTTCTATGTGGTTGCAACTAATTATTATATTCTTGATGAATTAATTGATTGTTTGGTTTGTAGAAAATTACAAAAGGGCTCCTTCACAATGCTTGTTTTGTCCAACCAATAGTCCCAATATTCAAAATTATTCAAATAAATTACAATTATTCAAATAACTGAAAAGAAACGCAGCAAATCTTCACATTTCTGAAGCTGGAACCATGAAATGTTTTTAAATGAAAAATGACTAAAGCTCTTAATATGTTTTGTGTGCAAACATCTTCATTTGTAAAGTGACAAATATCCAAATCTGTCAAATAAGTAAAGTCAATAAGTTCTATGAAGTATGGGATCATTTTCTGAGTAACTGTTCTTAACTGTTACCATATTACTGATTACTATTTATTATTAGTATTTTGATGAATTTAGATTTGTTTTTGTTTGTTTTGTGGGTTTAATTTATCTATTGTAAGTTGTAACTTTCATATACAACCTTTTTGGGGGGTTAATATGTGTTTGTGTTTACGTTTAAGGTGTTTGCTTGTGTTGTTGTTTGTCAGCAGATTCCACCAATGTGAGAAGAAGATTCTGTAAGTCATTAAAATTAAAAACTTTCTCAAAATATTGACTGAGTATCACAAAATAATGAGAAACTTTGTCAATATATTTCGAATTAGTATCAATATTTTGACTTATAATAAAAAATAAGAAAGAAACACCATTAAAAGCTCTAACTCTAACAATATATATTAATCAACTATTTATATTGTCTTATATCCAGAACATTTGTCAATATTTTAACTTAGTATCACAAAATAATGACAATCTTCCTCAATATTTTGAATTAGTATCAATATTTTGACTTGAATTAGTATCTCAAAATAATGACTTAGTATCACAAAGTCATTATTTTGCGATACTAAGTCAAAATATTGACAAAGGTTCTTCTTATTTTGAGGTGCTAAGTCAAAATATTAATATTAATTCAAAATATTGAGGAAGATTGTCATTATTTTGTGATACTAAGTCAATATTGTTTGATTATAATTAGTCTTTTTTCCGTCAGATTGGCAGAAATGTGTTAAAACAGAAAAAAATATAACTAGGCTGAGATGTCCCCTTTTAAAAATGTATTTAATAAAAAAATAAGAAACACCATTAAAAACTCTAACTCTAACAACATCTATTAATCAACTATTTATATTGTCATACATCCAGAACATTTGTCAATATTTTAACTTAGTATCACAAAATAATGAGAAGCTTTGTCAATATGTTTAATTAATAATTAAATTAATAATTAATAATTAATGAATAATGACTTGAATTAGTATCTCAAAATAATGACTTAGTATCACAAAGTCATTATTTTGAGATATTAATTAAAAATATTGATAGTAAGTCAAAATTTTGATATGAATATAACTGGGCTGAGATGTCCCCTTTTTAAAATAAGAAAGAAACACCATTAA